TGCAACCGAGGTGCATACCCTTGACTGCAATCAAACCCGCGACTCATTGGTCTGCGGGCTGTCGCTCTAACTGCTCAAACCGGCCAGGGCCCTTTGATGACTTCTAACTGCCTTCTACCTAATTTTTTTGTCTTTTTCGTACTTTGATTCTTTTCTTTTTGTTCTTTTTCTCTTTTTTTTTTTTTTTTTTTTTTTATCCTCACCCAAGGACATTTTTTCCATTTTTTGTACAGATAGAGTGGGAGGGAGAGAGAGGAAGGGAGAGAGAGAGAGAAACATCGATGTGAAGGGACACATCGAGTGGCTGCCACCCGCACGACCAACCAGGGCCGGGGACAAACTGCAACCGAAGTACGTGCCCTTAGCGGGAACCGAACCCGGGTCTCTGCGGACCGCAGGCCGACGCTCTAACCGCTGAGCCAAACTGGCCAGGGCTGTTCTTTTTCTCTATTTCAACTTGAGCTAGGTAAGGATTGAAACCACTTATTTCTTCTGGTTTTAAAGAAATTAATCATACCATGTAATCTGTAATTTTTACGTACAGATTCCTTCCAGCTTTGTGTACATTTTAGCTACCTTAAGCTCTTAGTGCACAGCTCTTCTGGACAATTGAGTTTGCTAGCTATTTGGATGATAGTGTATATGTAGAGGAAGTGTTGTCATTTGACCTAAAATATAATAATAATAATAATGATATAATGTGTTGAGCCTTATGAACTTAATAGTGAATCTGCCTTATTTAAGGTGGCATATTTTTTGTTTTGTAAATTTGGATGACCTCGCCGTGGCGGTTAAAGCATTGGCCTGCGGTCCAGAGAGACCTGGGTTCAGTTCCCGCTAAGGGCACGTACCTCAGTTGCAGTTTGTCCCCGGCCCTGGTTGGGTCATGCGGGAGGCAGGCACTCAATGTGCCCCTTTCACATCAATGTTTCTCTCTCTCTCTCTCTTTTCCTCTCTCTCCTTCCCACACTATCTGAACAAAAAAATGGGAAAATGTCCTCAGGTGAGGATAAAAAAATAATAATAATAAAGTATGTTTAAAAAAAAAAATTGGATGACCTCACATTTTAGCTTCCCCGTCTTTAGATAGAACTTTGCTTACATAGCAAATGGAAGAGCCAAAGATTTAAGAGTCGGAAGACTTTCGGGATCATCTGGTGTCAGTTTTGTTCCCTCTACAAATATTTGCCTGGAACTCTTTTGTTCTTGAGGATACAATGAAGTACCTGGCTTCATGGAACTGATAGTCTTTTATGAAAAGAAGGTTGTGCAGAAACTGTATAATCATTTTTTTAAAAATTAGAAAATTTATTCAGAAAGTTACAGAGGTAGCAGAAGTGAGCCAGCTGAGCTGTGTAGGCTCAGGAAACAAGTTACAGAAGCAAAAGGAGGGTCCTTGGAGCTTATGAGAGAGAGAGGCAGGGGAAAGAGCCTGGGGAAATAAGAGGGGAGTGGGAAAGGTTCGGGCATGCTCCTGAGAGGGAGAGCACTGTGTAATCTTATTTAAAGATTCCTCATTATGTTTTGGTGGGTCTTAATATGCTCAAAAGAAAAAGGATCTGATCCCTTAAATGCCAAATAGGTAAAGAGGAAGTGTAAAGCAGGAGAAGGGGACCCTGAATGAGTGAACTAGATAGGACAGTGTCTCTCAAAATTTATTTGTGTATGAATCAATCACCTGAGGATCTTGTTAAAATGCAAATTCTCATTCCCAGGTGATGCCTATATTACCAGTTTGTGAACCACACCAAGTAGCAAGGAATATGAGTATATAATTAAGAAAGAATAACCTGCTGCCATGTTGAGAAGAGTAGTTTGGAGCCATGCAGCACAGGATTGGAGTTATAAGCAGCACATCACACTTGGCCTTGGTGAAGTGAAATTATAAAAGCTGTTAATGTTCATTCATATACTAAGAGGGGGTATGAACACCTGTTTTTTGAAAGCCATCCATAATTGAGCTTGTCTGGGTGATGTGTCTGAAACCTTTGAAAAGATACTAGGAGGTGAAAGAGATGAGAATCATCAGGTATGAAGAAAGTACATATCTAGTCAGATAAACAATTTGAGAGAGTTAAGTGTTGACTAAGAGGACTAAATTTGTAATTGAGACTATTTCCTCCTCTCTTTGTACTTACTCTAACATAGTAATTCTAGTTTAAAAAAGTACAAATGAGTGCTGTTTTAAAAAAATAATGTAGTATTTTCCCTAGGCATATTTTCTGTGGAAAGTATTTCAAATTTCTTTGTTTTCCAGCTCTGAATAAAGCTTAAATGTTGTATGTATGTTGTCCTTCTCTGATCTGTTCCTCTAGTGACAGCTACTTTGAGCATAAACAGTCTGGGAGTTCATTTATGTTCTTGGTATTAGGAGAAGGCTCTTAATCTTGGAGGTGGTGTAAAATGTCCAGTGGGTATTGAACATTTATCCATAGGGAGAAATTTGGCAAGCCAAATCTTTGAACCAGCAGCCTTTTATTCAGGTCTGAATTCACAGTGCTAGTGTTTTCAATTGTTTTCCTAAATTAAAAAAAAATAGGTGTTAATTGATTTTTTTTAAAGAGAAAGAGAAACATCAGTCAGCTGCCTCTTGCACGCCTTCTACTGGGGATCAAGCCTGCAACCTAGTCATGTGCCCTGACTGGGAAGCCAGCTGGGACCTCTCAGTCCACAGGATGATGCCCAATTCACTGAGCCACATCAGCCGGGCTCCAGTTGTGTTTTTAGAAATTTGGATTTTTTTTTCTTTCTGGTACTATTTCAGTAATACTCTATATTCATATTTCCTCTTTAATATAGCACCTATCCTGCTTCAGTCTGAAGATATTGCAAATTTACTACTAACACTTATAATTTATTATGGTTCCATGTTGTAGTATTGAAATATTGGTTTCCTTGAAAATGGTCACAATATAGTAAGGAGATTTTTAGTTTATTGTGCTATAACGGAGGTAGAAATATGTGAAATGTAATCATGGACATAATATAAATATTGCTTTCATTATATTGGCTCATTATGATCAAATACATGTCAAGTGTAACATACCCAATGAGATTTCTGGCATATTTAAGAAGCATTTGCTACATCTATTGTTATTTCTCTGTTTTTTAGGGTTTTTTTTTTTTGGTATATATTTAGTTCTCTTAATACAACTGTTAAAAACTGAAAGTAAAACATCAAAAGCATTATAGTCTGTCTGTTCTAGAATCAGGCCAATGAAGACATGAAGTGAAACACATTGTTGGCTAAAAATACATTTTGCAAATTACTTCTGAAATTATTTTGTGAGAGCATCTATTGGAAATTTAGTTTTTCTTATTCTGTTGGTTTAAAAAAAACCCACTATTATCTGAAAGTAAATGTCCATACAAAATAAATCTTTTTTCTTTTTTCCATACAAAATAAGTTTCTTTCTTTTTTTTTTTTGTTAATCCTCACCCAAGGATATTTTTCCATTGATTTTTATTTTATATTTTTTTAGAGAGCGTGGAAGGGAGGAATAGAAGGAGGAAAGAAGGAAGAGGGAATGAGGGAGATAGAGAAAACAACATCGATGTGAGAAAAAAACATTAATTGGTTGCCCCCTGCACGACCCTGAGCGGGGCCAGGATCTAACCTGCAACCTAGGTGCGTGCCCTTGACCAGAATCGAACCTGAGACCCTTCAGTCCTTGAGCCAATGCACTGACCCCTAAGCCACATTGGCCAGGGCCATACAAAATACGTTTCTAATGTCTTCTGTTTTTTTTGTTTTTTTTTTTATCCTTACCTGAGGACATTTTTCCATTTTTTGTTCAGATAGAGTGGGAGGGAAAGAGAGGGAGAGAGAGAGAGAGAAACATCGATGTGAAAGGGACACATCGAGTGGCTGCCTCCTGCACGACCCAACCAGGGCCATGGACAAACTGCAACCAAGCTACGTGCCCTTAGTGGGAACCGAACTCAGGTGTCTCTGGACTGCAGGCCGATGCTCTAACTGCTGAGCCAAACTGGCCAGGGCTGTCTTCTAGTTTTTGTTTGTTTTTTTTATCCTCACCCGAGGACATTTTTTCATTTTTTGTTCAGGTAGAGTGGGAGGGAGAGAGAGGAACAGAGAGAGAGAGAGAGAAACATCGATGTGAAAGGAACACATCGAGTGGCTGCCACCCGCACGACCGACCAGGGCCGGGGACAAACTGCAACCGAGGTACGCGCCCTTAGCGGGAACCGAACCCGGGTCTCTCAGGACCGCAGGCCGACGCTCTAACCGCTGAGCCAAACCGGCCAGGGCTGTCTTCTAGTTTTTAACTTATTTTTTCTTAGGACCATATAAGCCTTTTCTATATATTCTGACCAGTGAATGAATACACAGAATGTTAGAAGTAGAAGGAATTTTAGAGCTCATGTAAATCATATAAACACTAGAATTTCTAAGAAGAATTTTAGATTGTTTGCATGGGATGACAAGCTTTTAATTTCAACTCTTTAGGGTATTTAAAAAACTGTTTATGACATCATTTCATTTTAATACCAAAAAAGTAAGAAGGACAATCTCATAGTAAGCACAATTGTAATTTTACACCCATGTTTGGTCATGGCTGGCACATGTTCAAGGATTAGATTTCAGAAACCATTATCTAATGTACCCCTCTCCTTTTAGAGATGATGTTTCTGAGCCCAGAGAAGTATCAAAATTCTTACAGCAAGGCAGAAGAATAACTGAGTTTAGGACCAGGTTTTCTGATTCCCAAGCCCAGAGTTTTGATCATGTCCCCTCAATCTTCATCACATGATGAGACTTAGGCACAGAGAATTTGTGCTTTAACTACCATTTAGCTAATAAGAAGTACAGCTGAAAGTTGAATCCACATTACCCAACTCCATTTTTAGTGAAGACTGTGCATTCACTTCCATGTAATCTTAACCCACTCTTGTTAGCCTTGTTTAGTTGTAGAGTTGGAATTATAAGTGATTGAAAGTAAATGTCTATTTTTAACATTTCCTTTCCTTGAACATTTCAGATCTGGGCCTCAAGCAACTTCTTCCAGAGAAGAGGGCCAGTGCAGCTGCTTTTGCAACCGAAGATCTCCATATCCATAGATTAGAATATTGGTGGGCCAGCCATCCTCAGATACCTCACTTAGGACAGGTAAGTGAAAGAGTGAGTAAGGATAAAAATAGGATGGATGCTAATGTTCTCCTTCCTATTTCTTGTTAGATGCAAATAATCAATTACTTAAAAAAATTTAACCCTTTATCCTGGGGAAAAAAAAGCAGCTGGAGTCTTAGTTGGGTGGGGCAGAACATTTTCTTGATTGTATAATATGTGTCAAAATGTTAACAATGGTGAAACTTAGGGTAATTAAATTCTTTCTCTTTTGTGCATTTTACAAAGTGTATTCATGAGCATGTGCTAGTTATCTATTGTTGCATAACAAACCACCCCAAACTTAGTGGTTTAAAACATGCCAGTTATTTGTTTTGCTCATGTATCTGTAATTTGGGCAAGGCTCACTTGGTGGGGACAGCTTGTCTCTGTCAATATGTGGTGCAAGGTGAGGTGGGGTAGCTAGAAGGGTAGGGGTGGCTCAAGAGCTGGGAGCTGGAATCATTTGAAGGCTTGCTCATTTAAGTGTCTGGTGGTTAATGCTGGCTGTTGGCAAAGACCTCAGCCTGGGCTATCGGCCAGAACACCTACACATGACCTCTCCTTTTGGCTGGTTGGTTTCCTCACAGCATGGTGGCTGGGTTCCAAGAGTAGAGATCAAGGTGAAGTTGCATGGCATATTTGACTTAGTTTTGGAAGTCACGTGACGTAGTGTTACTCTGCTCTCTCCTGTTGATTGAGGTAGTTGTAAAGGTCCACCCAGGTTCAGAGGAGAGGGTGCACATAGACCCCACCACTTGAAGAGAGGAATATCAACATCACATTATAAGAAGAGCTATGGGATGGAATCTGCTATTATAGCCATCTTTGGAAAATGTAATCTGCCACAGTTTGTATTACTTTTTTTTTTTAATCCTCACCCGTGGATACGTTTTTTATTGATTTTAGAGAGAGAGGAAGGGGGGGGGGAGAAACATCGATTGGTTGCGTCCAATTTGAGCCCTGATTGGGGATCGAACCTGCAACCTTTTGGTGTATGGGACAACCCGCCAGCTAACTGAGCCACCCAGCCAGGGCTGTATAACTTTTAGGATAAAGAATATAAATAATGTGTGTATTACATGAAAAAGAGGAGTATTTGCTGGAAATTAAGGTGTATAAGTCCAGTAAGAATTTTGTGTGCTCTTATTGTCTAATAGAGTATGATATTGAAAATAAGATGCCTGAACAGGAAGAAGTGAAATAGATTTTGAATTTTCTTTTGTATCAACAAGAAGCACACTACTATAGTCAGAAGTAGAGACAAGAACTTGTAAAACAAGGTGCAAAATAAGATTTGTAGTTTGGGAAAATGCTGGTTATTTAGTTCAAAGTCTACTTGTGTTTGATTTTGTTTTAATAATTTGAGAATTATTTGAGAATCTGGTTTCCAATATATATAATAGATTTGAGAAACTAGTGCTAATATTTGTTTGTCTTATTGATCACACTCACCAATGATATAAATTACCTGTGGCAGGTTTTAATATAGCTGATACTTAATTTCTGGATGTAATGGGATGATATTCTTTGATAATAATCCTTTAAGCATTACGTGGGGGTATTGGTCCATTCACTATAGCTCGGAAATAAGCTCTAAGGAGCATCTCATTATCTATTAGACCGAGAAAATTTTCTTGCTCTCTAGGTGCTTTCCCATTCATAGGTGACTTACATCATATGAGCCTAATTAAGGAGAGTTGATTCAGTACTCTTTCCCCACCACTCACAGGTAGATATTTTGCAGTGGAAAATGACTGAGCCAGGTATAGTGATAACACGGTAACCTCAGAAGTTTGCTCTCAACTGTGAATAATCAGAATTGACTGGGTTTGGGAAACAATATATTTTAGTTTAAAAGGTACAATAATTGGGAAAGCTGGGGTATTTTTTTTTTTGCATTTGAAAACAAAATGAGATGTTTTCCAGTAGACATAGACTGGGAATAATAATTATAGATAGTGTAAAATATTGTATGTTAAATAGGCGATTAACTTGGCCTCTTTTGTTTTAAGCATTTTTTTAGCCCACTTTTGCTTTTAAGAGGTCTGAGTAGGTAAATTAATAACATCTTTTCCAAGTTTATTCACTGCTTTATCTTGCCTCCATTCTACCAGGGCTGTGTTAGAGGAGATAAAAATGCCTTAAGTGGCCTGGCCAGTGTGATTCAGTGGTTGAGCATCGACCCATGCACCAAGAAAGAGGTTGCTGATTTGATTCCCAGTCAGGGCACATGCCCAGGTTGTGGGCCAAATCTCCAGTGGGGGGTGTGCAGTAGGTGGCCAGTCGATGTTCTCTCTCATCGATATTTCTGTCTCTCTCTCCCTCTCCCTTTCTCTCTAAAAAAAAAAAAAAAAAAAATCAATAAAGAAAAAAAAATACTGTAAGTGAGTGAGACTTGCTTTCTTACGGAAGCTAAAACAAACAACAATAAAAATGCCAAAAACACCCTATAGAAATTGCAAATGTAGTGATGTTTAGTTTGTGGCACTTTATTCAATTCTTGGGAGAAATAAATTATAAGGTTCTCTTGTATAAAGATAAATGACTATATAAATATTCTTTTAAAATGCAAAAAGAGCCCTGGCCAGTTTGGCTCAGCAGTTAGAGCGTCGGCCTGCGGTCTGGAGAGACCCGGGTTCGGTTCCCGCTAAGGGCACGTACTTCGGTTGCAGTTTGTCCCCGGCCCTGGTTGGTCGTGCGGGTGGCAGCCACTCGATGTGTCCCTTCACGTCGATGTTTCTCACTCTCTCTCCCTTCCTCTCTCTCCCTCCCACTCTATCTGTACAAAAAAAATAAAAAATAAAAAAAAATAAAATAAAATGCAAAAAGAATTTCGGATTATTGTTAAAGGCGGAAATTATATTTCTTTGGGGCTAGTGGTTCTAATTATTTTTTTGGTGAGATTCTTATTTCTAAAATTATAATAATTCTCAGTTGAAAAGTGGTGTTCAGTTCATGCTTATTCAGGTTTTTGGCAAATCAGAAGTTGTGTAACTTTCTTCTTGTGCATTTACCGCCCCTTCTTCATTGTTAACTGGTGTAGTACCTTTTATATATGAAATGTTTAATAAAAATGTTTAAAATTTACCTGGCCGGTGTAGCTCAGTGGTTGAGCTTCAACCCATGCACCAATAGGTCGCTGGTTCAATTCCTGGTCAGGGCACATGCCCAGGTTGTGGGCCCGACCCCCAGTGGGTACATGCAGGAGGCAGCCAGTCGATGTTCTCTCTCATCAGTGTTTCTAACTCAATCCTTCTTCCTTCCTCTCTCTCTAAAATCAATAAAAAAAATTTTTTTCTTAAATGTTTAAAATTTGTGGTAAGGAAGTGATTAGCGTAGTGTAAAATTTACCATATTATTTTTAAGTATATGGTCAGTAATGTTAAGTACATTGTTGTGCAATCAGTCTCCAGAATTATTCATTTTACAAAATTGAAACTATAATCATCAGATAATACCTCCCTATTTTCCCTTCCTTCTAGCCCTTGGCCACCAGCATTCTCTTTTCTGTCTATGAATTTGGCTACTCTAGGTACCTCATTTAAGTGGAATCATTTGTTTCTGGTTCATTTCACTTAACATAATATCCTCAAGTATCATCCATGTTGTAGCATATGTCAGAATTTCATTCATTTTTTAAGGCTAAATAATATTCCATTCATCCTTTGATGGACACTTAGGTTGCTTTTACCTTTTGGCTATTGTGAATAATGCTACTATGAAAATAGATGTAGAAACATCTCCCTGAATTCCTGCTTTCAATTGTTTTGGGTATGCTATATACTTAGAAGTGGAGTTGCCAGACCATATAGTAATTCTGTGTTTAATTTTTGAGGAACTGCCATACTGTTTTCTGAGATGGCTGTACCATTTTACGTTCCCTCCAGTAGTGCACAACAGTTCCAATTTCTCCACATCCTCAGCAACAGTTGTTATTTTCTGTTTTCATTTATTTATTTTTCAATAATAGCCATCCTGATGGGTGTGAGGTGGTATCTCATTGTGATTTTGATTTGTATTTCATGTGCTTGTTGACTATTTGTATATTGTCTTTGGAGAATGTCTATTCAGGTCCTTTGCCTATTTTCTAATTGAGTTGTTTGTTTTGTTGTTGAGTTGTAGGGGTTTTGGATATTAACCCCTTATCAGATACACAGGATCCACAAACATTTTCTTCAGTTCTGTAGGTTGCCTTTAAGAAAAACACATAGCCTGGCCGGTATGGCGCAGTGGTTGAGCTTCAACCCATTCACCAAGAGGTCACTGGTTTGATTGCCAGTCAGGGCACATGCCCAGGTTGTGGGCCAAATCCCCAGTGGGGGGCATGCAGGAGGCAGCCAATCGATGTTTTCTCTCATCGATGTTTCTATCTCTCTCCCCCTCTCCCTTCCTCTCTCTCTAAAGTCAATAAAGAAAAAATTTAAAAAAAATCAAAAACACACACACAAATTTTAATTGATTTTTAGAGAGAGAGGAAGAGGGAGAGATAGAGAGAAACATTGATGTGAGAGCAGAACATCTATCAACTGCCTCCTGTATGCCCCTTACTGGAGATTGAGCCCGAAACCCTGGCATGTGCCTTGATCCAGAATTGAACCAGCAACCCTTCGGTGCATGGGATGACACCCAACCAACTGAGCCACACTGGCCAGGGCTGTAGGTTGCCTCTTTACTCTGTTGTTTCTTTTGATGAGTAGAAGTTTTTCATTTTGATGTAGTCCAATTTATTTAGATTTACTTTTGTTGTCTTTGCTTTTGGTGTCATATCCAAGGAATCATTCCCAAATCTGATGTCATGAAGCCATTCCCCTATTTTTTCTTCTAAGAGTTATATAGTTTTAGGACTTACCTTTTGGGTTGTTGTCTTTTTCAGTTCTAAAATTTCTATTTGATTCTTCCTATTTTTTTTTTTTTAATCCTCACTGGGAAATATTTTCATTGATTTATTATTATTAATTTTTCCGAGAGAGAAGAAAGGAGAGAGAAAGAGAAAAATCGAT